AGCTGTTCTATGTATGTAAGTACCAATGTATTATATAAAATATCAATGTGTATAGAGCGTTTTACAAGTTTGATTAACTGAATGATTAGCAAAATAATGGTGTGTAAAAATATGCCAAAATCATTTTTTATCAAAAATAGTCTGTTCATAATGAATTTCAGTTTCGGAATCCTTAACGAAACACGCCTAGGATGGCACGGCCACGTTATGCAAATGGACATCAAGGAGGTGGTTCAGAAGGCAATTGCTATCTAGGATAACAAGAAAGGAAGAGAATGACTGCCCTTGATCTGGTGGACTAGTATGACGAGTTAGTAAGTCCGAACTGCATGGTCCAACAACCCAGGACAAATAAGGAAATAGTCTTGGCTAAGAAGGAAAAAGAGTCGAAGCCGCCTTAAATGGAAAAGAAAAAGGTCTCTTAGCATCTCTACTGGATAAACTACAGCATCGGTACATATTATAAAACAAAGTCGCTTTTTCTTACCTTATATTTCTATGCATGCTAAATCTTTAAAACTACGCAACGGATTTTAATAATGCAAAAAGGAGTTACGAGTGCTTTACCGACCTTTTGGGGATTGGGGTTTTGGAGATTTAGGGGGTGGGGAAGTTGTGAATGGACCCATTCCTGCCGAAGCACAGTTAATATTAGAGAAATCAAGTAACAACATTGCATCCGTGTTGAACCTGTATTTAGCTAGTAATGTCACAGGCCACTTGCAACTAATACATATCAAGAGGAAGGCTATTTACATTACCTACGATTGCTTGGTAGCCTGGTTCACCTCAATATGCAGTGCCTACTAAAGACCTGTGTTTACTATTGGTAAGGAGTTGCTTTGTATAGGAACATAATTGTCATTTCTAATCGATTCTCTGAAACTGTATGCAGTGCTGTGTGTAACTGTATGAAGAGTACGTTTGTAATAGTTTTCTAATTCAAAAATATATTATACTTATCAATTTTGTTTGTATGTACAATTAAAATACTTTTAAATATTTTATTTTTATTTTTTATAAAATGTTGTCCCACACTTCAAGATAAACACACAATTTGACATACACATCACACCCAGACCCGGAACAACAATTTGTGGATCACACAAAGAATTGCGCCGTGCGGGAGTCGAATCCGCGATACGTTGCGCGGCAGCCAGTTGCCAGCCGTGCAGTAAAATAATAATAATAATAATTTAATATAAAATAAATAAATAAATTTCTCATTCATTAATTTTACCGTATTATACTCGATATTTCGTGCTTTTTAGGTAATTGTAGGGAAATAAGTATGCGAATTAAATAAGGTAATTACGACATCGATGCGTACATACTATTTCATACAAATTGACGTTTTTGACGATTGGAAAAAGAATTGAATTTGAAAACAGTTGGAAACTACTATATTTGTAAAAACAATAGTTTTATTAAGCTGAGTACAATACCTGCAAAACCAATCAAAGATTTAGTAATCTGAACCAACAAGACTACCAAAACGTCAATATTTTAACTCTAACTTTGGAACAATAATTCAGAAAATGGTTTATAAAATTCTCTACAATTAAGAAGCTGTTTTACTAGAATGCCAAAAACCCGATCAGATTAAAAACTGTGCAATAAATTCAATTTAACAATATCAAGCGATAACAAACTCAATTATCAAAATGATGAAGTCCAAATTAAATAGAACATTGAAAAAAAAACTGGAAGATAACAACGTTCGTTCGCAAGTAATAGTTGATAATACTTGGAATTTCGTTCGACGAACTCTTCAGAAAGATCTCGTCTGGTTCTATTAATAAACCTCTTTGGTTGAAGACTTACATCAAAACGAAACAACTTATTTCTCTCAAATTATCGAAAACCATTTAGACATAAGTAGGTCGAGGTGCTTACACGATACAATATTAGTTCAATTCTTAGAAACTGACGAATTCACCCTTTACATTATACATATAGGTACATATTACATGTATGTTATGTGTCCACTGCTGAACTGTATGAGCCTTCAGCCATGGTTTCGAGTTCAAACTCAATAATGAACCAAGCAGGGATGTCAGGGAGCTCCGTAACCGTAACGGAAACTATAGGTAGACTATTAACAAACATAAGCTATACTATACATATTAAAATGATATTAAAATAATCTTTACACACATATTAATATTTTACATGGGATGGGAAAATAAGTTTCATTTTTTCCGCTTTCATGCTGTAATTTCTGAACCGATTACTTTGAAATTTTGCAAACGTAAAGTTAGAAGTTCGTATTGAATAATAAGGTACTTTTTATTCGAAAAAAAAAAGATATTCCTGAGGGAAAACAAAAATAATGTTAGCTTCATATTCGTTCTCCAGTTCGGCGATAGATGGCGCTTTGTGCCGTTTAAAACAAGGTAACACGTTGCAAATGAATATACACATGTAAACTTAGAAGTTAAATCCTTACTAACATTATAATTATGCAACCGAATTCCCCGCGGGCAAAGCCGCGGGCGGCAAGCTAGTTATCTATATTATTTAAAAAAAACAGGTAATAATTTAAATGTGTGTAAGCGCATGACTCAAACTACTGGACAGTGTTGCTTGAAAGAAAAATATGTAAATAAAAAAAAACATATTATACTACTAAATAAATCACAGAAATTATAATTATGAATATTTGTATAACAACGCTTAATAGAAAGAATCAACCATTTTTGCAACAACTCAATTAAAATCTATATAAGAACGTATAAAAAGATACGCCCCCGGGTGGGCTCGAACCACCAACCTTTCGGTTAACAGCCGAACGCGCTAGCCAATTGCGCCACGGAGGCGATGCGTGCTAGCGCCAAATTTATCTACGCTTAAGAATTAGCGATTTGCTAAACTCTTTTAAAAAGTAGGTAGATATATAAATAACTGATATCGAATATTTTATAGATTGTGTTATAAAATGAAACTATACAGTAGTTAGTTTTATTATATCAAATTACGTTTTTTTTTTCGTAGATAACAATACTCAAAAAAATATGTACCTACATACCTAATCAGTATTTTGTTATATCTTATTTATTTATTATGTAACTTATTTATAATATGTTTATTTACGCTGCCTGGTTTGATAAAAAATGTCTTGTATTTCTTATGTGTCTTTATAGGTAAGGCTTATAAATAAGTAACTACTTATTAATACGGCTCCTGCAAATTTTTTTATCTAATTAATCAATAAATAGACTAAAATAATAGATAAAATAAAGTCGCTGTCTCTGTTCTTTTATATGCTTAAGTCTTCAAAACTACGCAACGGATTTAGTGTTGAAGGAGGAGGCGCAAGGCGCGTGACAAAACTATGCTCCTCACACCCCAGCAGCCGCAGAAGACTCTTCAGGCATTGGGAAACACGTGACGGTCTCCGACCATCGTAAGCGTGGGTCTGCGAACGTCGACCACCAACAGACAACCACAGATGGGGCCTATTAGGGCCGATGTTCAGTCGGTGTTTCAGATGCAAACAGAATAATGTGCTGCGACCTCAAACTGAAGTTAAAAAGAACGAGGTGGTTTCTAGTCATTAAGAGTTTAGCTTTCCCTTCGGACCGCCGATTTTATACGCTCAAAAACGACTAGCTATTTTTAAAACTAAACCTAAAGTTAACAATTTTTTTTTTTAATAGGTCGGCAAACGAGCAGACTTGTAACCTGATCAAGCAATCAGCGCTGCCATTTCTTGCCAGATCATGGACACCCGCAACGGAGGGGTTACGACTGCATTGTCGACCTTTTAGGGATTAGGGCTTTGGAGATTTAGGGATCGGGGGAGGGAAAGGATTGGGCCTCCGGTAACCTCACTCACACGGCGAAACACAACGCTGTGGTTGTTTCACGCCGGATTTCGGTGAGGCCGTGGTATCACTCCGGTCGAGCCGACCCATTCGTGCCGAAGATTGGCTCTCCCACACTTAAAATATATGTATAGTAAACACCCATTTTCACATGGACCATTTTTATATGTATATATATATATATGTAAAGAAAAATATATATCACTTTTTCTTTAGGATTTAATTATTATTTTAATGTTGTTATTATTTTCTTTTTTATGTCTATAGAGTTTTTATGTTAATGTGATGATAATAAACCTCCGTGGTTTAGTTCATGTTAAAAAGAAGAAATATTTTGACAAGTCATTTATGTAATTGTTTTCTGTTAAAAAATTATAAAAAATAAATATATGTTAAAATAGAATAATTAATATTGTGAAGAAATAAACTTTTAAAGTCGTTTCTTTGGTAACAAAGCAACACAAGTTTATTTTATTTATTCCTATTAAAGAAAAAGTTTCCGTATTATAAAACGACTTTAAAAGTTTATTTCTTCACAATATTAATTATTCTATTTTAACATATATTTATTTTTTATAATTTTTTAACAGAAAACAATTACATAAATGACTTGTCAAAATATTTCTTCTTTTTAACATGAACTAAACCACGGAGGTTTATTATCATCACATTAACATAAAAACTCTATAGACATAAAAAAGAAAATAATAACAACATTAAAATAATAATTAAATCCTAAAGAAAAAGTGATATATATTTTTCTTTACATATATATAAACATATAAAAATATATACACATATATATACATATATATACATATATACATACATATATACATATATATATACATATATATACATATAAAAAGTACATACCCTATACATGTATATATATATACATGTATAGGGTATGTACTTACAATGATACGATTACAATAAAATTTTAAGTTTAATAAAATCAATTGAAAAATTTATATATATATATATAATAGATAAAAATGCGCGATTTATGTTCATAAGAAAGACAAAAAAAATAATTGAATGCAATGAATGATATGTGCTTCTCAATTTAAATTTAAATAAGTGAAAATTACAAAAAGAAATATAAAAATAATTGCGTAATCCACTCCTCATTAAAATAACTTCATTTTGTTTTTATTTCTGTTCCATTCTCTATTGAGTTTCTTCTTCCAAAACTGACATTACCAGTGTGAAGAATGACATTCCAGTTTTGATGAACTGCAAAATATAAAAATTATAAAAACACATTTTTTTCTTTTTTTTATTTCGAATTTTGTTTTTGGAGGGCTTACTCTACTAGTTTCATGTAGGTTTTTAATGGACGACAACTCGGCCACTTCAAGTCAGCAAGCTAGAGGTTCTCAGTCATAAGGTAGCATTCACAGAAATATAAAAAACTCTTTTCTTATATCTATGGTAGCATTCCACGACAAACAGCACGGTAAGCATCCGAACAAGCCCCAGCTTAGCTTTAAATTTGTCAAGTAACCTCGACAAACAGTAACGTGAGTAAGACATATCTAAAATACGATTTATAATATTTATGTATATTTAAAAAAAATATGGTGTATGAATATACTATTTATTTAAGTATAGATATCAATATTATAAAGTTTTATTTATAATATTTTGGTCGGGCTTTGGTTACTTATTGGACTGGTAGTAAGCGATGATGCTACCTACATTGGAGCACGCCTTATTATACTCACCCAAGTAAACGTAGGTAAAGACAGAGTAATAGTTCCAAATATATAGATAGGCATGCGCTGACCAAGTGCCATATTGAATATCCGTATGTTCGACTTATGATTGTGGTTGAAAATGTACCATTTCTCTGTAACTGCTCTCTCCAGAGCTTCACACTGTGAAGATAGAAAAAAAAAATACATTCTTAAATTGAAAAATTCGACTGTACAGTGCGGCCAATGTACCTTGGCCAGTCTGAAGTTAGCCGATTAGCTGCGCAGTACACAATTTTGTTCCTAAAAGATCCATTGCGCTGACAAACGGCTAACTTCAGACTCGCCAAGATACGTCGGCCGCATTGTACGGTTGATTCGCAGTGGCTGGGCAACCGTCTTCTGCATAACGTGTCCACGGAACAATTCTTTGTGTGATCCACAAATTTGTTTATGTGATGTTTATATGAGGGTCTTAAGATTGTTTGTGTTTCTAAAAACAACCATGACAGAGAAGGAAAGTCTAGTAAAGGACAATATCATCATCAGCCTATAAGTGCCCACTGCTGAGCAAAGGCGTCTTCTCACACGTAGAAGGTTTGAACATTAATCACCACGTCTGCTGAAGGCGAATTGACGATTTCAAACTTCTAATTAGAAATGATAAGTCCTGGTTTCCTCGCGATATTTTCCTTCACCATATATCAGAGGTGTCTAAATAATCTTTTAAAGTGCATATAACAGGTAAAAAGTCACATTGTTACGTGGCACGAACCCTCGTCCTCATGTATGAGAAGTGGTCTTAACCGCTGGGTCACTATGAATGACGGGCAATAGTCTTTTTTTTTTTAAATAAAAGTTTTGGTTGAAACTAAATTGAAGACGCCTTTTTTTCCTTTACCTCATTGGTTAAGCAAATATGATTATCTAAGTCAACGTCTATTCTAAAAAAATCAAGTATTATCATGTTCTTTAGAACATGCCATATACATGCTTTAAAGTTAAAAATGGCATGAAAAGCCATAGAATTTCTTAACAAATATCATAAAAAAGCAAGTTTGAAAAAACCTTCTGTTCGTCTTTTCACAGAATACCGAATTTAATTTCCTTCTTACCTCGTTGTCCACTTGCTGTCCAACTAAACAGAACATAAGTACCACCAAAATAAAACAGAACTCATGGATGTAGTATTTCATTGTATCTAAAGATACCTTGTTCTAAAAATAAAACAAAAAACAACATATGAAACTCATTCTCCTAATGAAAAAACGGCACCTACACACGGAAGACAAAATACAACGCATTCTAAATAAAGACAAATTAATTTCTCGATTTTATCAATAAAAACTAATAAAAGGAAAATTAATTAAAGTCTCGAACACAGTAAAATCCAATACTTTACATCTATATTATTTCATACCAATTTAATACTAAAATCAAACTACTATTACTTACACAAAAGGGACCAGATGATAAAATTTAATTCTATCTATTAGTAAAGTTTACAATTATAATTATCAAGAATACAGACGCGCAACTTTTAGCGACTGCTAGTTCAATTTTAGTGAGTGATTTCACGATTTCACTAAAACAGATGGATCAATGTCTTTATCTTTTCCCTTCCAATCCATCCCATCTCTCCATCCATCCCTAAATCGTGAAAATCTCTGTTTTATCCCCACAAGGCCGGCCTTGTGGGGATAAAACAGAGACTTACATCTCCTCTGGTGTGCCGACTGCTTACCATCAGGAAATCCGTACAATGGTTTGACGCTCTATCACATGAAAAGTAATCCATAAATTCAGCGACTTTGTTTCGTTATAATCTAAATACTGGATTACTGAGAACAGTGGGTGACTTTTGCTTGACGATATTTTTAGCAATAATAGTTTGAATTTTTTAGTGCCGAAAATATAAAAACGTTTTTTCAAAATGTTTAAAGTGCTACATTCAATAAATTGTCCTAGTAAGAAAAAAATAAATTTCGACAAAATAATTTGAAAAGTTATCAACAGTTAAACGACGAATAAGTGGGCCAGAAGGGCAACTAAATCGCTATCGAACGACACTAAAAGTGGCTCGTCTGTATGTTTTCATACTTACCGATACTGCGATTTTCACAGAGCACATACATACCAGCATAATAGCAACTAATATCAACGTTAGGTAAAATGGACGACATATAACGTTGAGTCGGTTGCTGAAACTATAAAAACAGTTATTTACATTCATTACGAATACTAGTTATTGGAAACGTTATCGGGGAAACGGTTTGTGTATCAATTTAAAATATGTATTTTCATTTGAAATGAGTGCTTTATTCTTACTGTAATTAAGTTTAAACTACGGCAAATTATTATAGTTATGTTGAGGTCAAAGTCCTTTAGTATTCAGATTGAGTCACTTTAAATTTTGTATGAGTAGTTTCCCAACTGCTTTAAGTGTCGGAAGAAAACCGTTAGTAGAAGTGTGCGTGGAGAATACAAGAGATGATTTGAAAAAGAGTAGAAAGTAGGAGAGAGAAATGAGGTCCAGAAGTCTGGAAGAGTCATGTGTCGGTACGTGCACGGAGTGATACCACGTCATCACAGAAAACCGATATGTGATTTGCCGTAAGAGTGGTTTCAGGATTGCTGAAACCTCGCCAATTCCAAAATATCCAATCCTCAACTCCAATACCCTTCAAAGACCGGCAACGAGCTACGTTATAAAACAAACTCGTCATAGCCTGTCAAAACTCCTGCAACTCCTGTATAAGCCAGGGATTATAGTAGATACAACCTTGAAAATACCGAAATACTGAAGTCCAGCGCATCCCTGGGGAACGAATTAGAACTGTCTTAGATCCAAGGAAAGAAATAAAAAAATATTGAAGGCACAAAAGAGACAATAGGGATAAAAATCAGTCACCAATCACTATGACAAAAATTAATAAAATAACTTAATGGATCCTTATGTGTAGGTTGTTATATGTATGTACTTATTTCCAGTTATAGGTACAGTAACTCACTTTTAATTCATCTAGTGCTGCAGGTGTTCATGGGCGTCAGCGGTTGCTTACCATTGCTTAATCCCGGCTCGTTTGCCGACCAATCTCCTATAAAAAAATCTGAGCTACAACATATTTATTTTAAGATTACCTTTTGATTTTCACGTAATGGTCCACACATTGAGACAGGACTAAAGTACACATATACTGCCATCTTTTATCCTGAACGCGAGTCACTTCTAGCACTAACTCATTCATGTGTAGCAATATAAATGTCAGAATCCTTATTTGACGAATTATCTGTCCCAGCAGAAGGATTATTATTGATTGAAGGCCGGGATAAGCTGAAAAAAACAGTTATTGTAAAATCTTGACCGAGTTCCAACGGTTAAAAAAACCTTTCTACAGTAATAGATGAAATTCAACCAAATATAGGCGTAGGTTATTTACTTAGGCATTGAAATAATAATTATTTATTTTTTAAATTCTGTACAAAACCCACTTAAAACTCCGTCCACTTTACTTGCATAAAAATAATCTTAAGACAAAGGGTCAAGCTACTTTTTTCAATAGGCTACGTTCCAGCCTGTAAAGTGATCACCAATGAAATCAGTCCCAATACCTACAAAACCCTCTAAACATACAAAAGTTCCTTTGTAACATTTAAACTATTTGAGGAAACGAGTTAATATTACAAATAGAAATTCTTGTCGAACCTGGAACCAATTTCGTAGCAACGATTCCAACAAAGACTTTATTCTGGCATTGACAAATGTCCAGATCTTGTCTGACCTTTTCGATGTGCGCAATATCTCTCGCACATTTCTATAAACTGTAGATGTGTAGTCACGGGACAAGTTCGTGTTTGTCAATGTTTGTTACTTGGTTGAGTATTTTTTATAATGTTGCTCTTGTATTCTACCAGTTCAGTAATTGTTTTCTGATTGTGTATTGTTTAATCATTGTATTTGGCTATGATCCGGACTATCAATCAAAGTGTTTTATTAATTTTTTAACCAAGTGACCGAGTGCCAATTTAAATACTGCTGTATCAATAGTTTTTAATGATAAAACTTAATGATAGTGGGAGAACTGTAAATTATTATATCTCTTCAGATCTTCTCAGATTACAACTAACATACGAAACAACCCGTTAGATGAAGATTTATGTCCTTTAGATCCCTTTAGATGGACAGGTCATTTTATTGTAGATACTTTTTTTAAGAAAAGAATCCTCGCTCTTGGTGTCAAAATCTTAACGACCAGAATCCACGACGCCCTTTCTCCTTTTCCATATTTTTAAACTCCAAAAAGGTTGAAATGTAATACTAAAATGCTTTCAATTTGGAGTTAGGGTCGTCTTAAAAATTTATATTGTCAGTCTCTATTAACTTGTCCACCTCATGGTGATGTAGAAAATGTGATAGAAATGCCGTATATTTTGTTCCTACATACACAATGTCAAACATTTTAATCCTAGAAGAAAAAGGGAGATTTTCTCATGGCAAAACATCCATTTTTCATCTACTAAACAATTAAGAGTCACGTTTAATAAGGGGTGAGCGTTATACCCACACTAGCTTTCCCGCGCGTTTCACCAGCTGCTCGGCTCCTACAGATAGCGTGATGTTTTATAGCCTATACCTATATATTCTATAGCACTCAGGAACATTATAGCTATCTATCAGTGAAAGAATTTTGGAAATCCGACCAATGGTTCCAAATATTACCTACATACAAATTTACAAATTTTACCTCTTTATAATATAAGTATATATGTAGATTTCTTTCTGTTATTGTATTTTAATATGTATTTTAATAGGAGAAAATAATCTTGTGTACTTACCAATACAGCAGAGGTAACCAGCGTAGGCATGGAATATAAACGATATTATATAAACCGTGTAATCTTCTAAACTCCATGGAAACCACATGTCGAAGGCTGGAACAAATTGTAATCATAAAAATTGCTATTGATTACATCCATTGTAAGGATATTATTTTCTTATTGAGATCTTTTCGTCGAAAGTTCTAGGAACTTCTTTGAGAAAAGAATGTCAGACTTGTTTCTAGATTGCTTGAAATAGTAAAAGATTATGTATAACCTTTTGTAATAGTAACTGGATGTTTACTTTCTCAGAACGTGGATTTTTAATATGTAACATACTAAAAATTGTAGTTTTATGGCCCGTATGTATTAGATTCTTGTAGTTACATACATATCACACCCAAACCCTTTAAACAGCCTAGTAATAAACGACCTTATAATTAATTTAAAAAAAGGAATATGTTTTTACAATTATATTTCGAATAAAAAATAAGAAAACGCCCAAAAGCCCAGCAAAGACTCTCCTGTGATGGTCTTTAAACTTACCCAAAAGACGCAAAGACTCGTCTTCTCGCACCATCATTCCATACACGGGGCTACAAAGGTACAGAGTGGCGCACAAGAACACACTGGCGACATACACCCTCAGAAGTATCGTGGTATACTTGAACAGTTTCTCTTGGGAACCAGTTACTAGATCCCTCAGTTCTTGAATCTTTTCGCCTCCAGAAGACACCAGCAATACATGGTCTATCAATGGCATCTCCAACATATGGTCTCTAAACGCCATTTCTTCCAAAAAATTTCGAAAGTCCTTCCTAAATATCAAACAAACTCCCAAAGTAATGGTCATTATCACGCCAGTTGTCCAGATACAAGCCCCTTGGATACATAGGAGAAAATCTGATACGTTGGTAACGACAAAACCAGTTGTAAAAATGAAGCATAACACTCCAATAATAAAGTTGAAAGTCTGATGTACCAGCCATCGGTTGGAATCCCAGTTTTGTTTAGCAAAAATTGAAATTCCGGCAAAGGATAGTACCCGGTGGAACGCGAGAAAAGCTTCATCCATTTTGAAACGGTAAATGATACCAAGAAAGAATAGAAAGGTGTTTTTATTGGAGCTGAAATTGGTATAGTCGCGTACAAAACTACAGGAAGCAACAAAATTGTTTTGCCATCTATTGATAAAATATAACAACACCATCGTGACGAAATATATACATACAAATAATATAAATTTAAATTAATTTGCATAACTATGGCTTAAAAATACTGGACGGCAAACATTTATTGATAAATTAAACACCCTTAAAATTGGGCACTGAATAATTTTACACAATTATTTAACTTTAGATGATACGCTCGTTCGATTGAGACTTTATTACATAATCAGACCCTTTCCTTGATAACAATAGAATCGACGACCCAAACACCTCTTTTTTCTTTAAAAGCTTGCTTTAAATTAATTAATATAAATAAAATATGATTTCCAGGGTTCGATATTATTTGCGCTGCTATATGGCTAATTTAATATTCTTTGTATAAAACTTCTAACTTTGTATTACTGCACTTTTATTTATTTATTTATTTAATAATTTTTGTACACACAGTAAGTTGGACAAGAAAAAACAATACAACAATTTTAATTTAATGTCACTAATTCTTTTAATATTCTAGTTCTCAAAATGTTATGTATTTACAAATTATGTTTTTGTTGTATTCCAATTATTATTTTTTACTTTAAATTTTGCAGTGCCCTACATGTTCCATAATTGTGTCCTAGCTGCAAGCCGATTCTGTAATACTCAGTTAAAATTAGAATACGCAAATAAAAATAAGAAATATTTTTCAAACTATAAGAGGAACACCATTTGTGTACACCTGTACCTGTCAGTCCAATCATCTTTAAGGGTTGTACTTAAAAAAATGACAAAATGATATACAGAGAGCGTGGCAGTGTATATTATAAAAAGTTTGAGTGACACCCTTTGATATTTTGATTTGTAAAGCTAAGAACAAATTCTCTTTGATAAGAATATGAGTGACGGCAAACGGGAGTTTCTTATAATCAACTTTTTTGCAGGTATAATTTTCGCCTTGACGTATTCGGAAGTTTGTCTCTATTTGAAGGTATTTTTTTATACTGTTTGCAAATAAATAATGATAGTGTTTTTTTATGAAAGTCTTAATTTATTGTCATTTAAATAAGTCCTGTTGTAAGTTTTTCTATATTTGTTAATCATCCAATATCATAACTAATAATTTGCCTTTATCTCATACATTTATTCTTGCTACGACGTCAATCCCAATATCAAACGCTTCAGACCAATCGCAAATTTTACTAACAAAATCTTATTAATCTAGATTTTATCAATCACGCTCACTATCCCTTCAAGATTCATGCATTTTTCCTGCAATTTTGCTTCACCAATATAATCATCATCATCAGCCTAAGAGAGTTCACTGTCGAGCAAAGGCCTCTTCTTATACAGAGTAGGTATGAGTATTAATCACCTTGCTTATTTTTTGTGAGGAGAAAATCGTCAGATGCCTTCTCCCACCCATGGTCGGGCGGGAGAGAGTGTCAGACTCTTGCTGACTAAAAACCCCCCGATCTGGGCCGAGGCCGCGGTGACTCATTGCGTTAACCCCGCAACTCCGGTTGAACACCAGCCCTATAGGGCACCGTCTTTGGTGGTCCATTGGCTCTTTGAGGCGCACGGAACGCTACGCGCCGTCCTCATTCTGGACTGGCGTTTTCAGACTTGTAACCACACATTCCAGATTTTCTCACGATGTTTTCTTTTACTTTTTTTCATTGGTATCTTAATAAACTAAGAGAGCACACATAACTCTGTCACATTGGTACTTGTCTTATTTCGATCCTCATGCTTGAAAAGCGTTGGCCTTATCAGCCGGGCCCCCACGACCATCACTTGTTGTACTTAAAACGTCGTAAAAGACAATGTAATTAATAAATAATTACAACAAAATTACTGTTATGTCCTTAGAAATGTTCATCTAAAGCTAAAATGACTTTATTTAATTCACAATGTACTTTTTCTAAAGAAACATAATTATGACCCAAGGAAAAAATTATGACGTTATTATAATTATAAATATCCAAGTGAAATCTCGCTGCTTTTGTTCTTTTTAATAAAATTCTTATTAATTTTTAATTGGAGAGCTTATGCAGAGGTATGAAGTAATGATAATTAATTGGTAAAGATTTTTTATTAGAAAATATGTACGTTTAACTTTTATTCGTAGCTTCGCTCCCGTCATTTGACTACCTACACTACCCTACCTTACATAGTTGCCTACCTACATTTTCTACCCTACTTACGTAGGGTTACTAGGGTAGATAGTGTAGGTAAGCAACTATTACTACCTACTTACTCAACCCTACTTACCCTACCCTACTTACTCTACCCTGCCTACCCTACCTACTTTTTCCTATCCTTTGTGCTTCTTCTGGTTGTCAACTACATCCCCACCAATTCTCAACGAAATCTTAGTTTTGATGGTGACCATAGTCTGGCCAAAAAAATTCCACGCGGGGATTGCATTGTGTCGCGGTTTCGATTCTCGCATGGAGAAACACTTCGTAACAATCGTCAAATTTTTTATTTAGATCTGATTGTGATGAGTATATGAATTTGTGTTTTTAAACGCATTCATGACGTAGGAAAAAATCTTAGTGCGAAGCAAAAAATATCATGTTTGGACACAATAAATAGCTTACCAACTTATATATACATATATATATGAATACATCTTGATACTCTATTCACTACACAAAGACGCCATTCGTCAGTTCTGTACGAATATCATAAATCTAATATTTGTATGTAAGAGTTATTTTTCATCCGCAGTTGTATTCTATGTGCTAGAGTGATTTATGTGGTCGCCCTCAATGCCAGGATTCGGCTTATTAGCTTGATTGAGACAGTTTATGTGGTACTGTAATAATAGTGTTAGCATTTTATAGGTTTCCTTTGTCGGTATATGGAGTTGAAGAAAGTTTATTTTTTCCTAAATTTAAAGAATAAAATAAAAAATAAATAAGTCGTTGTCACGTTGCCGAATAAGTTCTAGGATTACATGATGAAACCAACATTTCAAGTTAATCGGTTAAAGATAATATCTGTCTCAAAATTTTGTTGCCAGATTCTACTTCACAAAACATCAATAAATACATATATTGCAAATTAAATAAAAGCCTGTTAGTTAAATAAGTTGATAATAATAATAAAAGAAGCTCGTATAGAAACTATTTTATGTTTTTGACTTGGGTGTACCAGACTTACGATATCCGTGGAATGGCTGGAAGTGGTTGGATGAGAAGAGCTGTACAATGAGCTTAGTAGCTTACAATTGCAGAGGCCTGTGTCTGTCTTGTCAGAAGTGGACAGAAACAGGCTGATAATGATAATGAAGATGAGCACGAGTACCAGACAAGGTCACTGAATATGATAATGTCGCTACCTCTGCTACGATTTCCAACAGTATGACTTCGAGTTTTTCTTTATCAAATTTTTTAATTAAATGCTTTTCCTTACATGATATTCCTACTGGTTTGTCAACATAAGATAATTTTGACCAAGTTCACCTTATATTCTACTTATAACTTTGAATTTGTAACAAGAAAATATTACCAGAATACAATCGCCAAAAAATTCGCGAACAAACATCAATATACCAGAGAATAACTCACGACCAACACCGAACCCACTTCATTTACAAGGAAGAAAAGGCGTGAACGAAGAACTAAAGAAGATTTATTTAAACACAAAACAACGACACCCAGTTCACATACACTTGGCAGAGACCCAGCAACAAATAAGAATAAGACAGATTCGGAAAAACGAATTAACTTCCAAAACAGTAGGGGTAGTGAAAATATTTTTATATTTGTACGTTTGCGAGCCCCCCCAGTGGGGTGCAATAACATGCCGCTTGGCAATCCCTTGAATACAGTGGAAATAAAAATATCACTCGCGTTTGGATTGGTTACGGAAGTGTATAGAGCTGTTGTTATATTTTCTTGCCACGTGCTATCTCTGATCGTCTTTTGGGTCTCATTATCATGTAGCAGTTAGCAGTGCGGAAGAAACAACGGGTTGGTTTTAAGTCAATAAAAGACTAACATTCTCACTGCTATATTTTTTATCATTGCTTGCTGACAGACTACGTGCTATCTCTGGTCGTCTTTTGGGTCTTGTAATCATGTAACCACTAGGAACAGAAGAAAGAACGGGTTGGTTGTATGTACACGTGTATATCCCTATCACTCAAACCAGGGTGTAAATGACAAAAGACAAAGACGACGAGAGGAGATTACAAGACTGACAGAAATTCGGCAGTTACGCTTTTCGATAAAGTTTTAATCATTTTAAATAGCGACCCCCAATCCAACCTAAATGTAGTGACAATAAAATATTATGTAGTACTAACAGTGCAGCTTTCAAAGAAACAAAAGCATAACGCGAAATGCTTTTATAACATAATTAATGTCGGTGTATTTATCTTAACATACTCAGAATTCTAACTACGTAACTTCCTTACAAACTTCTACTGAAGTGTGGAAGGTAGCCCTCGGCATTCTCTTTGTAAGCTGCAACTTAGTGTGAACTAAATTATTTGTTACTTCACCTGCTGTTTACACGGTGCTAAACGCTAACCTTAGTCTGTGCTGAGCCGCACATCAACCTTTACCATTTCCAACAGCAGATTCACTACCTTAACCAAACGGATTAGAGTTTAAAATCTTTCATAGAACAACTGATTGTAGTAAGTCGATGTGTCGTTTGTATCAAGTTAAAAGTCCTGTGACATACTAAATTCAATTTAGTCGCTAACGGTATAAAGATGAAGTTGGTTTTGAATCGGTTTTTGGTTGAATTGACTGTTATATAAGTTTGTGACTCACTTTATCACTTATAGTGATTCAGGACTGGATTCAGAGGAGAGAGGATTTTTAGGTCTAACCTGAAACTATAAGTCTAGACTTAAAGTTAGTAGCAGACTATGAACCTCCCGTACAGAAGAAGGTTCCCTATAAATGTCCCGTGTAGGAGGCGGGCTGAAAAAATAATCAAATTCTCCAAAGATCGCGATTCTGGTGTCCAGTCCCTTAGTCAACTTTTATAATAGAAGAGGGTTGCGGTTGAAGGGCAATAATATACCGCGGCCTTGGCCTAAATTAAGAGAAATAACGGGCTGGTTTTAGCCAGGTAGAGTCTGACACTCCCTTATGCCCCAACCAGGGCGACAGAAATTATTTGTTGATTTTACTCCTTCATAGCAATATATCCAGCTGACCCCACCATATACTTAACACAAATAAAGGGAGAGAAAAATAAAATTAAACAAATACATCCAACAAAGAATAGTCACAAAGGTGCAATTAATAAAATCTCCCGATTTTATCGTGTTTTACAACAATTGGAGAGTTTTGAAGGGCTCCCGTTTCTACCAGTTTCAATTCGGCAGCTTGTAATCCTTTCATAATCACATACACATGGGGCACATTCACTATCAATTTACATGTCACGCTCCAACGCTAAAACAAACCTTATTTATACTTAACAATTTTGGAGAACTATCGATTCACTCTTCCCCCACTGGAGGAAGGAAATGTCACTGAACACCATTGTTTCTTCGTATCACCAAATCTTCAAAATCTAGTTGGCCCCTACGACGCTTGAGCAACTACAAAAAACACGGTCTGGGAGGATCTTACAAATATATTGCAGTTCTTTTCAGTCACTACTACAACTATACTAATATTATTAAGATCAACGTTGTAGGGGGTAATCTTTGGAACCACTGGTCTGATTTACCATATTTCGTTTTCACTGATAGATAGCTACAATGTTCCTGAGTGCTATAGGCTATAAAACATCACGCTACGATCTAACAGAGCAGCGAGTGAAAACGCTCGACAGAAGTAAGTTTTTAATAAACTTTGTTTCCCTTAGTTTCTTAAGCGACCATCTCATGTGTGTGAGAGCCATGCTTTGGCATGAATAGGTCGGCTCGACCGGAGCGATACCACGGCCTCATAGAAAACCAGCGTGAAACAACCACAGCGTTGTATTTTGCCGTGTGAGTGAGGTTACCGGAGGCCCAATCCTTAGGCTAAATCCTTTTCCAATAAAAATATTTCAAGTTGTACTATCAACTCTATATTATATGTATAGAGTATTTGTGTTAGTATCAAAGTTAATGTGGTGCTTAGAACATCCTTGATTTATCGATTTAATATCACAAATGTATTGAGTCGACTCCATTGATATGCACATTATTTATTTTTAAACCAACTGTAAATACAATGTTGTGATGTCACTCTGCTATTTCTGTTCCTTTCTTAACTCAAATAAATTGTTGTAAGTGTATGCTTGTAGTTTCGAGTTCATCTGACCGGGAAATGTTAAAAAAAGCCGTACCAAAACCACTTTTCGGTAGGCCAGTTCCAATAATAATTTTATTATATGATGAATAAAAATCGTTTTTAAAGATAGGTACATAAAAAATCATTCCACAACAACATAATAATATTATGTCTATTCACTTGCCACTTTTGTAATCAGACATTTAACAAGTACCTTACGTGACAATACATGTCCATAAAGAATATAACTCCATCTTCATTCCTCCAAAAAACTGTCTAAGAAACATTCCCCAACAATGCGAAACACTGTTATTCAAAAAGTATAACTCACATCTGAATGACTGACCTCGAATACACGCTATAGTACCCAATAATCCTTCGTCAAAATGACGGACAGGAGACCGAAAAACATCACGCATAACTCCCGTAACAAAAGCCAAACACAACACAGTTCTTAAGACACTAACGGACTAAGAAAATCATAAAGAAACCCCCTTTCTCTTCATATAAAAAACGATTGCATTGAAAACAAGGAATTTTCTGGGAATTTCACTCTCCCGCATACATTTATTTTATTGTTACGACCCCTAAACACAAAAGCTAAGGGATTATTTGAAGTCACAGTATCTGAATAACACATCTCTATTTTGCTGGAGTAACCTCCGTATCAGTCGGAGACAAGAAAATATAATAAATCATATCTTATGCCTAGTTTGTTAGGTATATGTAATCTTACAATCTCTCGATATGTTCTGCGTCACTCGTATATTTCGCAGTTTAGAACATAGTAATGTTTTTTTTTATTTTAATGCAATATTTAACCAGCTACTTAAATTATAATTCATTCTAATTTGATCTCTACTTCATTGCTAAGAAGATGTCTATGTTGATAAAATCAATATTAAAGCAATTCTGAAGACACATCACGTGTTTTTTTTCTAGTACCTACTGTAATAGAAAGCAAAAAAATAACACATATTTTATTAAATATTGTATTAAAGAATAATCCTATAACAATATTGTAAACTGAAGAAAACTGAAAACTGCATCAAAAATTTACCAGATTTACTCAGAATCCGAAAATGCACAAAAAAATATGAATACATGTACTACGTTGCCTTCAAAATAAATTAAATCACAAGGAATCTGAAATTTGGAAAAGCCCGTTACGCGTAAAAGATGATAATCAAATCAAATTCGTGACCAACCACACCGAAAATCTAAAAGAAGATCGAACTTCAAATACATATCACACCACAATATAAAAAAAACAATAAAAGTTTCTTATACCGTAACCAAAACGAATTCGAGCCACAAAATGCTGTCCCTCATACCCAGTACTGTGGAATTCAATCACCATAAAAGTGTATCTAATCGTTTTAAGTTTTAAATCCTTCATTGGAAGGAACTTATTACATCGTTTCCTGAAAAATCTATATACTTGTATATAAAAGAAAGTCGTGTTAGTTACACTATTTATAACTCAAGAACGGCAGAACAAATTTGGCTGAAAATTGATAGGGAGGTAGCTAAGAACTGGGAGAAGGGCATAGGATAAGATAGAGAAGGCAGAATAGGGTAGGTAGACTAGGGTAGGTAGAGTAGGGTAAGTAGAGTAGGGTAGGTAGAGTAGGGTAGGTAGAGTATGGAAGGTGGAGTAGAGTAGGTAGAACAGGGTAGGTAGAGTAGGGTAGGTAAGGTAGAGTAGAGATGGTAGGGTAAGTAGAGTACGGTAGGTAGAGTTGAGTAGTTAGTCAAATTAATAACTACTATAGCTAGTTTATAGATAAACTAAGATTTCATTGAAATACCAGGTCTCAAAGCATTCCCTTTTATCAAACTCCGACACCAACAACAGACTTTAAATGAAAAAAATGTAACATATGATGCTGATTAAGGTGATATAATTAAAAATGACAATTCCAAAACCAATTTCGCAGTTAATTCTAATGAAAATTGAACTAAAAATTACTTCAACGCATATTAAAATATTACCCAATAAACAATCTATGAATGATGATAATATAGTAATCAAATTTCGTTATGCAAGGTACTGTATATCTGTAGTGTATCTACAAAACAAATGATTTAGCACGTCAATAGTTCAAAGTGACGTAATTTCCTTATAACACATTTACAACTGATCCATTTAAAGAAATGTGTAAATTATCATGAACTGGGAGACACGACATCTGTGCTAATTTGCTCACAATATATATAGCACCAACTTTTCCTGATACATTTATTTGTCCTCTTATAGTTGTGTTGTTATCAGTATTAAAATATTCATTATCATCACCAAAGCCAGAGATGTATTTCAAAGTGATATTAGTATTATCATTCGTTTATTTAACTTCAGTGGAATCCAATGACATTAGATTAGGATTTGCTACACCTTATTCGAAGAAAATTTACAGTGCTATCAAAATTGCGAACCCAGCGTTATGGCAAAGAGAAGATGACGTCCTGATCAGCTCACCAAATCACGAACTAATAGATGCAGTGTACATTACAGATCTACGACCAGAGAAAGATGGTATATCATATATTGAAGCTGGTGGAATCGGAAGTAAAACAGTAACAATCGCTTTGAAGAGTCCGTCACTTTTACGAGGATATAAATTTGCTATTGAAGTTTATGCACAGAGTTTACACCACGGATACGGAACGAATATTTTGCCGGTTCAAGGTGCTGGGTATCCAAGAGCTGGTTTGAGTGGATATGGGAGTCAATATCCTGGATATCCAACTGCTTATTCTCCTGTAGGAGTGTATCCAAATAGCCCGATAGTTGGCAAGAAGTGAAAAAGCATAGTTATATTGTCAGCTAACTGTGTCGAAGTGTAAATATTAAAATGTTTGATGCGTCATGTTTTGAAACGAGTACATACGTATTATTTATTTTTACGTGGAAAACATTCAACGTCTTTGTATTCGACCTTGAAAGACACTCGTGTTTAAAAATGTAATTATATACATTTTGTAAATACCTAAATGTTCTTTATTTCTTTTTACTACTTTTACTAATTGAAAATTTTCAAAAGTAAAATATATATTTTTTCTTTAATACCCAAAATAAATTGAACAAAACAATATTACATTTATAATTAAGTAAGAAAACTTATAAAGGTCGTAGCAACAATAGCGTCTGGCCTTTGTTCATACAATCAGCAAAAACTTTTTCTAATACCGAAGCCTTAATATTTATGTATAAATATTTTCATATTATTTTATAGAATTTATTAAATCGTAGGTCGCTCAAGTATGAACCCTTAATGTACTGAAAATAATATTGAAAGAAAGAGGCAAAGTATTTTTATTGAACCATAAGCTGGCATTTTGAGAAAGTCTGATAATATCTTACATCTATCCTACTAATCCCTATTTAGATAATCAGCTTTACCTCACTACTATTGAGTACAAATAATAAGGAATTAAAGAAATAATAATTTAAATTCCCGCATCACTACAAAATATTACGAGGTAGTAAAATTAAACAGAGCCATAAATAGTTATATACACGAGTACTACATAAATATACACGTATATACGCAATTCAAACAAACCAACTCAAGGTACAAAATGAACAAGTTAAACTCAAAACAAAACGGTAATAAAATCTTATACTGCGGTAACTTATCGCACAGATCAGATAATGGAACACCATAGTACCCCCTGCTAGTATGAACAGCATTATTAATATTCAGTATGCGTGAAAATGATTTAATACTTCCTACGTAGCAGTTTCAAATATAAATGTACTATCGAACAAAATGTTTGGTATCCAGATTAATTAATAATAGTGTATCGTTTGTTAGAGTTATTTATAACTGACAGGCATATCATCTTACAAAATAAGTGTGCTAATTGAGGGCAGAGGTGTCAATAATGTCACTGTTGTTATTTTTGGAAATATTGAAATGATATATTTTTAAATTCGTGAGTTATATTGGAGTACTTAAACGGAACAAATATGAGTCACGTTTCAAATAGACATCTGACTTCAAGTTACTATAAATAAACTTAGGTTTATTACGAAGATATACTGAGAATAGTGTTTTTATGAACTTTCAAATGCATGTTTACAGTCTCTTTGGTATGTGAAAGGACGGGAAACGAACACAAGGATTAATTGATGGTAAGCAATCGACGCTGTTCGTGGAAATCCACGACACCAAAGGAGTTACGAGTGCGTTGGCGACATTTTGGAGATTTAAGGAAGGAGGCGAAGAAGGATTAGGCCTCCGGTAACTCACTCAGTCGACCAAACACAATGCTGTGGGTGTTTCAGTTGTTTTGTTATTATTATTATGGTAAATATTCTATTTTTAGTTAAAGAATAAATGATTTTGACTTTGACATTATTTGCTTTTACAAATAATTTGGTCGATTGTACAAGTACGGTTGTGAAATACAATCGAACGTGTTCGAATTTAAAATATTACCTACAGTTCACATTGGTACAAATTGTCATCACTAGTTCCGATGAGACGGATTTGGATTCCCAAAGTTATTTTTAGTCGAAAACTGAAACTTGTTTTTGTTGAAAACATAGTTTCAGTTATTTGCTCGTAACGTACATACGCACGTGATCAATTTAAAGTATAAATTCAGGCAGTATGAATTTAAATTTTAATATTGCCTAGGTATTTTTTTTAAGGAAAGGGGTAAGTTAGAATCGGAATCCGTGTAATAACTTTACTACTACCCAATGCGAGGTTTGAGGTCTAAACCAGAGTCTTGTTAATTGCAATAAGAGTCAGATTTAGCCATCAAAAATTATTTAGCTATTAAATAAAAAATTAGTGACTATAGAATTGTGTATGCAGGAGGAATAGTGATTCGCGGCCTTAATCTGGAACAAGAGAAGAAACGGGGTGGTTTTTATTATGTAAGTAAGTGAGAGTCTAATAGTCCCTCGGACAACCTTGAGAGATAATATATGAGAAGATATATGATGATATTTCCTCTCAAAATAAAAAGCTTGATAATGTATTGTACACATTATAATAGTACTTGTAAGCAAATATAAATATTTCATCAAAACTGTGGAATGAACTTGCAACGGCTTTGTTTTCGAATCGATAAACCTTCAAGAAAATAGCACATACATTTTTTTGTGACTCTTCTCGTGTTGGTGCGCTGATCGCTTACCATCAAGTGTCTTTTTTTAACTTTGCCTTACACTATTTGCCTTCCGTGTCATGGGTGCGTGTTTTAAACATACAAATCACAGCCATACCCGGAAAAACAACTTCTGGATTACACAAAGAGTTGCTCTGTGCGAAAAAGGACCCCACGATACGTTGCATTTTGGGCAGTTGCCCAGCCACCGTGTCAACTGTGCAGTCACATTTAAAGAAAAGTGGAATTATCATTTGCCTTCAAACTTATAAACACACATATCTATACAGATCAAACAATCGTACTCTTACTAATATTTCAAATGCGAAAGTTACGATGTTTGGATGATTATTACTCAATTACGCCAAAATGGCTGAATGGATCTGGATGAAATTTGGCACAGGCAAAGGATACACTTCGGACTAGGACATAGGCTACTTTTTATTAACATTTCACGAGGGTGAATCCACGGGCGGAAGCTAGTAAAGTCATATAATAAAGAACATCTGTACAATCTGTAGTAACAGAAATGATCGAGCAATGACCATATCTTTGTAAAGCAAGCAATACTAAACCTTACAATTTATTACCAGAATAGAACAGAAGCTAACCTACATCCAACAGAAAAAAATAAACGTAGAAAGCAAACTACTTCATTTACTAGAGTCCTCTTTTAAATACTAGCTAAAGGCATTCGCTCTCAATATTATCGCTGGCTAGTATCCGACAAATTCTCTCGATACGTTGAGAAATTAAAACGGTTTGGCCAAATGAGGATCGCTGTTTGCACTTGTTTTAGAGGTCCGTTCTCAAATGGTTCAGAGAAATAATTTGTGAAACTGGTGTTAATGTTTGTAGTCGATTTTTTGATTGATTAAATAAGTTCATAGATATTTTTATCGGAAGCCTTAAATTATGGCCGGTGCAAATCAAATCAAAATCATTTATTCCAACTAAACCATAAATAGGTACTTTTGAACCGTCAAAATAGAATAGTCTGTCAGTCTGTTCGTCAGTGACATAACGGACGTTTTAAGAAACACGTTAAAATTTTTTGATAAGATTTTAAAACGTACTATATTTTTTGTGGATACGGAACTTTTCAGCGAATTCCTTTTGAACTACGTCGTTTTTCTTTCAACCAGTAAAGAGGTAAAGGGCACAAGTAATGCTGATTCAAATACTTTTTACTAGAACGTGCTAAATGGATTTTTGGGTACGAAATTTACTTTAGCTAATTCTCTGATTGTAACTAGTGGCACAGTTAGTTTTTTTGGCTAATTCAGTAAGGGATAGTTTTCTGTGTGTCTATTTGGTTTCTACTTTTATTTTTAAATCTGACTAAGTTCAGTAATCGTTCGGTTTTTATAGTTTAAATCGGCTGGGGGAAGCGACAGGGAGTGCCAGACTCTAAATAACAAAAAAACCGTTTCTTCTTCTGCTTTAGGCAGTAGGCGTCTGTGAAGACGTATTCTGATGGTAAATAATTGGCATCGACCATGAACAGGGGCCCAAGTCTACTATTTTCAAAGTGTTGTCATACCTACACGATTCCATTCTCATTTTGCTAAAAAAAAGTTCGTAATCTGTTACTCAAAATGGCTGATCATTGGCGTTCGGCGACATCGTAATAATTAGGTAATTATAGTACGAGATGTCTTGTAACGTATTATAAACAATAACTGCACATTAATATTCTAAACGTAAATCATTGAATAAAGGATCTCTGTCATTTTTTTATTAATTTACCGCATTATGTCAAATACTCAATTGTCATTATGTATGAGATTAACGTTCTAAAGAATTATTTCAATGAAGTGGCATTGGTTGATCACTGGAAAGTCATAATGACGCTATGTGTTAGTAGATTACCAAACTTGTCAAAATCAACAATTTTGAAACCAATGACCTACTATTCTGACACTATTGTAATAGCAGACTCGAGGCCCAGGTTGCCAACCAGTACATTGTCTGTCTTTTGGGATAAAAGATTTAAAGATTGGATTCTCCAAATACTGTCAATAAGATTTGTGTGCTGCTATTATGGGGTGCAGCGTCACCACGTATCGTAGTGGCCCAAACTGGCGCCATAACAGCTTCTCATGTATTAAGGGTTTGAAGTCTGGTAAGTACCTATGTCACATATGTGTACTGTCTAGTATATATAAACAACGCTGACAAACGACGACGGAAACCCGGACTTATATTTCTAATTATGAGTTTGAAATCGCTAATTTACCTCAAGTAGGTGTGGTCCTTAATGCCCAAATATTATCCGTGTGAGAAGACGCCTTTGTCTAGGAGTGAGCCCTTGCAGGCTGATGATAAAAGATGTTTAAATAGTATTACGATTTGTGAAGACGTATTTACAGTTCCTACATTTCCAGATCGGTAGTCAAATCTCACGAATGGTTCAACTACGTAATTGCTCAGCAATCGCTCGCAGGCTCGTTAGCGGAGCTCTTACTCTCAATTGATCCTCACAACTCATGTGAGTTAATAGCATGCAAATTCTATTTTAAATACTGGTCTAATAAATTCTATTTTTTTTTAGTTTACCTACATATTTTATTCTATTTGTAGTCAAACGAGGTTCTAATTAAAACCTTTTAGGTACGTGTAGGTATAGTTAGGTTAGTTTGTACAGATTATACGCATAATTTGATTATAGACAAATTTTT